GGATGGCAGGGGGATGGATGGCAATGGGATGGATGGCGGCGGGATAGAACAGCAGTAGGATGGATGGCAGCGGGATGGATGGCAGTGGGTGGGATGGCAGCAGGTAGATGGTGGTGGGATGGAATAGCAGTGGGATGGATGGCAGTGGGATAGAACAGCACTAGGATGGAATGGCTGCATACCAGGCTTCCCCTCGTGTCCCTGAGGCCTAAAGTGAGCCGGGGTTTTTGTTTGGTGAGAGCAGCCATCCCAGGGACGCATGGCCAGCACACCCTGAGGAAAGGCCCATGGGAAGGTCCAACATGTCACCCTGTGCTGGACTGTGAGCCAGGCCTAAATACCCTCCCAGGAAGAGCAGCCACACTTTCCCAAGAAGCAGCAGCTGATGGGTGCAGATGTGTCAAAGCCATGGCCTTTCTCTGTGTCACTGAAGTGGGGAGATTCCTCTCTATAGGCTCAGCCCCCCCATCCCAGCCAGCATCGCCGCAGCTCCTGCTCAGCCCCACCAGCYGGGCCCTGCGCCCTGGCAGAGGCAGTGGCTCTCGGACAAGGTCAGCTCCAGCCCCACTGGTGGCTTGGCTGGTTTCCTTCACAAAACCATGAGCAGACCACAAGACCCATGAGACAGAGCTGAGGCCCTCAAGAGCCCAACTCTCTCCATCTTGGTTTGTGCTACACCACCACAAAGCCGTCGGAGGAGGGAACCCACCATTCCCAACCTCTCACCTCCCTGCTCTCCCATCCCCATCCTCACAGCACCTCTGTAGGACCCYGTCTGTATCTGCCACCCAGCTGGCAGAACCCTACACATGACACACTCTGTGCCATCATCTCATCTCTCCACTCCATCACCTAATCCTCCCCTTCTCTCCTGGCAGCTCACACACCATGGAGYTCCAGCCACATTCCTCCTGTCCTGGGGAACTGCCCTGAGCGACCTCACACTCCTGTTGTAACCATCCACTCCTTCACACCTGACACACCCCACAAACATCCTGCCCTCTRCCACAGTGGGATTTTGGGAGCGGGGCTCACTGCTGCTCCCACAGAACTGCCTGAGACACGCCTTCCCTTGGTCTCTGTGGGTAACCAGGGCCTTTCCCACACACAGAGGACTGGGCTCACTCCACTCCGGAGTGGAACAGGAGCCCTCAGAAACCAYGTTCTGTGTGCACCACACATGAGCTGCCTCCTCCTCCCAGCCCGAGGCCTGAGTGGAGCCACTCTTAAAACTGCTGTAGCCAGAAACTTTCCTTMTGGTGCTGGCTCTGGGGGGATTTAAATCCTCCTGTCCATCTAACTCATTCCCCATCTTTTCCTAACCCACTCCAGCCCCCTGGGGCATGTCCTATCGCCCCTGACATGCCACATGTGCAGAGTCACGTCCCGAGTGTCTCACCTGTGCAGCTCCCGTGGTGGACAATGACCCTCTGGATCTCGTTGAAGTCGGCACCGTACTCGGATGAGTCGCCCAGGCTGGTTCCCGGGAGTTCCCTCGGCGGGGACACGGAGCCGTAGGGGCTCTCACAGGGCGCCTCCTCATCCGGGCTCTGGAAGCTCCCCTCGGACTGCCCTGACATCCCGTGCAGCTCGGGGTTCTCGGGGCTGTCTTCGGGAAGGAGCTCCTCCGTTTTGATCACAACTCTTATTCCAGCTGCATCAATGAGAGATTCCCACCCACCATCACTCCCAGGAGCCAGGATGAAGGCACTGCTCCCAGCAATCCCTGCTGGCTCCAGCTGCTGATCCCACACAAGGGTTTCACCCTCTCAGCCTCTTCTGCTCTCCCTTCAGCCCCTGCCCTTCACCCATCCCTGCCAYGCTCCCACCTCCAGCCCGGGACCCTCTGCAGGCAAAGGGGCCTCAGTGCCCCAGCTCAGCATCCCTCAGCCACCCCACAATCCCCAGCTGCAGAGCCTCACTGGCCCATGATTTTCCTCTTCCAATTGGCCTTAACTGAATTTCAAATCCTTGTGATGAAGAGCACAGGCAGAGGGTCAGACCAACCCCACATCCAAAGCCTGGAATCAGGGATGACCAGTGGAGATGACACCATCTCTTGTAGGCCAACACCTTATCAGCCCCCTTATCCCAGAGCAGGAATTGCTCTGGGACTTGGGGTCACTGATGCCCCATTCCCAGCGGAACCTTGAAGAAACTCCTCAGCATCYTGTCTCCCTGCACACAGGATGGGAGTAGGCTTCCCAAGGATATTCCCAAGGATAAACCCAGGCACCATCCATGCAAGGAGAGRGTAGAGTGGATTTTCTGGGTGGATGGGCTTTCCCAATGGGACCCGATTCTCCTTCCTTGCTGGGCACATCGGCTCCCTGAGGACCTGCTCTGGTTGCAGATGCTTCCCTTGCTGGGAAGGGCTCCCAGTGCCCAACTCTCCAGGCTCCGCTTGCCCTGGTTTCTATGTTGAGCTGTACCTGGACATCAAATCTCTAATCAGCCAAACTCATCCCATTCCCAGGCAAGGCTTCTCCTGATAAACCCCACCAGCCACGGCTCCCAGCAACACCCACGGCAGCCTTGGGATGAGCAGCTCCTGAGAACACAAGCCAGGGCTGCCCTTGTGTCCAGGGGCTGTCTCACCTGCTGTGGCATCAGTAATGATCTCGCTCTCCTCCAGGTCCTGCTCGTTCCTGCCCCGCGATTCCTCCCCTTGCTCRATCTGAGACAGAACACCGGGTTTGGAAATTGCATAGTCTGTTGAGAGACAGAGGGGTGGAGGGAGAGAGGGATTACAGCACTGGGAATCGAATAATGGCTTCCACCTCTTCCCAGCATGTGGGGGGATACGTGAGGACACTCAGGAACAGCCACGGGTGCTGCTGGCAGAGGGGATTCAGAGGCAGGAGCCGAGGTGCCACACACAGAGAAACTACCTTAAAGAAGAAACCCCACCCCTGTGTTTTTCTGGTGGGGTTTTAGAACTACTCAGACAAACCCTGGCTCCCCCAAAGCCATTTCATCAGCTCCCAGCAGAATTGGGATTTCTCCTGAACCTCCATAGGAAATGACCTAAAACATGGATCACATCAGACAATCTTTCCCTTCACAAAATCCTCTAAAGGGGGGCATGAGATAGTACCCCATCACTGYAGACCCAGAAGATGGAGGGAAGCCTCCCAACAGCCATTGGGACAGAGATGTTTCTCACCACGTAACTGCAGCTTGAAGAGGTTTGGGAGGTCTCCAGCCCACCTGCCCACAGGCACCCCCCATCCAGCCAGAACACCACCAGAGCACGAGCTGGAATGAATCCGGACTAGAAACATCCTCCTGTGTTTTTAAGTCTTTAAAATGAAAGATTTGGGTCTCATCCAAAGGGATGTCCGAGGAGGAGCTGGAAGGAGTCCCCTGTCCCACAGCAGGTGAGGACACCCCGTATTTACCCAGGGAGATCAGAGACTCGTAGTTCCCCTTCATCACATTCTTGTACAGCTCCTTTTGCCACTCCTCCAGCTTCTCCCACTCCTTGTTATTGAAATAGACGGACACATCATCAAAGGTCACCGGCACCTGCAATTCCAACAGCGGCTTCAGGCAGGAGCCTGGACACAGCCAGGCTYCAGCTCCCAATGAGCTGCTTTTTATATTTATAACAACTCCTGGGCAGATACTGTTATGGGAATAAAGGATTCAGCCAAATGGATGGACCCTAATGAGGAATCCAGACCGGGATTTCCCCAAAGGACCCTGAGCTCCTCCTCTCGGTCCCTGCTCCCTGCAGGGCGATCTGGCATGGGAGAGAAAACACAGGAGCTGGGCTGGACTCATCCCTATTGATGAGCTGACGTAACCCCCGGATTCAATTACCCCAGAACTCCAGGGAAAACTCTACCCAGGCCCACAGGGCTCCCCATTATTCCTAGCTTGGAACCGTGTGCCCACCGGCTGCAGCTTCCTAGCTTGTTTGCCAAGGAATAATTCCTAAGGATAAATTCAGGATGTGCAAACTGTGCTGTGTTGGAGTGGAGCTCTTCAGAAGGAAGCACAGTGCTCTGGTTCTGCCCCCCAACTGCACTAATGGAGTATCAGGGTGTGAACCCCCCTTTTCCCAATCTTCTCAGCTCTCTCCAGAGACATTCCCTTTCCCATGTCCTACATGATTTCATCTGCACGCTTTCTTTTAGTGGGAAAATTGTGAAATCCAAGTACGAATGAATATTGATGGTGGGCTCTTTCCAGAGCTCAGCTAAGCGCAGGGAGCTCATCTGCCCTCCCTGAATCCCAGAGCTATCCCCTGCCCTGCGGCAGCAGCTCCCACTTGCTCCTTCTCCGGCCTAGGAGACTCTGCAGCACCAAGGTGGTCAAAACGAAAGAACCACAAAATCTGCAGGGTTTTTTCAAATGATGGCAAAAAAAAAAAGAACAAAAAGAGAGTCAATGGCCCTGAGGCTGTGCAGYGCAATGGAGCAGAACTGAAACCTCTGGCCTGAGTACCAGGATGTCCTCCCAGGACCGTGTCCCACCATATTTTAGTGGCAGAGGGGGATGAACTGGGAAGCTGCAATGGGCAGCTGCAACGGTGAGCGACTCACCTGCACGGGGGCTGTCCCTGCTCACCCACCCCGGCCCTGCCCTCCAGGTGCATTTCGGGGGCAGTGTCCGGCTCCTGCACCCCAGCACACCCGTTACCTTGGGGACTTCCCCCTTCCTGCCGGGGGGCAGCCGCAGGATCCAGAAGTTCCTGTTCTTCAGCAGGTTCTCCATGTTCTCCAGGCGCCGCTGGAGCAGCCCATACTCCTGGATGAGGGTACCCAGCGCTGCACACTTGCTCTCCAGCTGGTTCCCCAGCTCCGCCGCTGTCTTTTCACAGTCGATCAGCTTCTTCTCTGCCATCCCCGTCCGACCCTCCAGGTCGAGCAAACGGGTGGAGTGGGAATCCACCTTCCGCTCCACCGCCTGCACGGCCGCCACCACGGTCAGGGACAGCTCTGCCGTCTGCGTCTCCCGCTCCGAGGTGCGCTCGGGGCCGGCTGCTGGCCGGAGGGGCGAGGGGCAGCGCGGCGGCCGCACCGGCTCCGGCGCCTGCGGACACAAGGGCCCGGGGTCAGGGCGGGGGTATCCCCCCRGGGGAGTGGCGACTCTCCCGAGATGATAGAGACCTCCCCCCGGGGTGACAGATCCCTCTCCGGGGCAGTGGGGACACCCCCGGGGCGGTGGGGACCCCGCGGGGGGGCCGCTGCAGGGCCCAGCGCTCCCAGGGGCGGCGGGGACGTCCCCGTGTCCCCACTAAGCCGCTTACACCGGCCCCGTGCCGGTCCCACGGGACGGGCAGGACCCGCCGCGGAGGGGGCGGGGGGGAGGTGACAGCG